AGACATTGTTAAATAAACAAGGCACGTTAAATGTGTCAAAACTTCGTACTGTACGAACGTTATATATATATATATATATATACATAATGCGCTGTTGGCGAGAGTTTCTCCTATAAATGATGGAACAAAGGGTAATTTTTTCAAGGGTGATATCCTAACTTCAAAATAGTTACTAATTTTAAAGGTAATCTATAAATGAGTTTTATCAGTCACTATAATCTTAATTACTATTTAAAGACACCGAAAGTTGTCTTGAATAAAAATTTATTGCAGCACAGTGTCTTTTATATTTAAAAATGTTTAGAAACTCAAAAATAAAAATATTTAACACAATGAAACCATAAACTAGATAATAGTAATTACACATTTCTCAAATATTAAAATTTCACAGGAATATTCAAGATACAAAATTTCAACTTTATGATAAAGTAGTGAAACCTATTTTATGATATATTATCAGACATAAAATATGATGGGTGGGAAAACGCTTATCTTCCACTCCTAGCCCCTTATATTGATATTTTAATTAACTTTTTAGTGGTGAGTAAGCATCAACGGTATTTTAAAATTATTTTAAATCTCATGAAACTAATGCACCTCTCGAATTTTACATTGCTACATTTTTTCCACTTAGAGAGCGACCTATTGTCTTAATTATTTTTAGTTCTGTAATTAACAGTTTTTAAAATTAATGACAACTACCAGCTCCATTAAAATTAAAGTATAATATTTTTATGATTCACGAAAAATGAGATACATTAAGTTTCTCAACGTCCAAACCTTACGAAAAAAAATATTTGGACACTTTGCTAGCGCTATAACACGCTTGTTATATTTTTAATATTAATTTTTTTGGTTAAGTACAAAACTACACAATGGGATATCTGCGCTCTACCCACCACGGGTATCGAAACCCGATTTTTAGTGTCGTAAGCCTGATTAGCTTCAAATTTATGCATTTTTTTTACAATTTTATGATAAAATCGATAAAGCTTCTTTGTTTTACTTTGTAAATAAATTATTCGTAATGTTATATTCTAATTACATAAACGAAATTATTTCTCGCCTAATAAATACTTTTTGAGCTTTTTATAAATGTTGATTTATTGGCCTATTTTTGAAATGTTTTATTTTTTCGACCTTTTATTAACCTAATATATTGAATCATGCTTGAAGATTATTCTATAAATATTTCCCTCATGATAAAAATTCGAATAAATTAAGCTTAAGTTTGGAATATTTTGGGTCCGTTATAGCCATAAACACCACATGGTTTACTCTTTCACTGTCATTGTTACGATGTTTTGCAAGATAGAAAATTTTATGAAAGGCTATTGAATTCAACTGCTAGGGTTAATTTAGCAACTGTAATAAATCTAACTATTGGTACAAATATTATTCAGTTAATGTTGGGTTATCTTTGATTCGTACGGCACTGAATAAACTGAAACTATTGCAGACAAATGAAAACTTTATTGAATCTAAGCCTACTTCTTGCCAAAGTAGCTGACGTCCATCCATTTGGAAAGATCAAGACACAGATGCAACAGAAAGTAAGATCAGATTGACTGTAAAGTGCAGTAATCGCATGTTTTCACTTTTTGTTTATTTGACGCTTATTAAGATAGCATAAATAATTTGGTTTCTAATCTATATTTGTTGTCTTATAAAAACGTTGCTTACTGCAATGTTTATTTTGAATAATAAAAGACTATGGTGTTTTAGGGTAAGGGGAGGACGTGTTTTGTTTTTAAATAATTACAAAATGTAAATGCGACAAACTCCCTGGGATCTTTATTAACCATAATTTAGTGTTTATTGCTTCCTTTTTTACCGCTACCAGTATTCAACATTTTACTTTGAACCAAATGGTATGTTGAAACTGATTCAGGTTCATTGCTTTTACTTTTATGTACTTCATCGGAGTATGTTGAAGCAGTGATTTGGGTCAGTGTTACACTGCTAACAGTAATACGTGTACTAAAGTGATCGTTCCCTCCACCACGATCACCATCACCAGAATATGCATTTATTCCTTTATCAATAGATCTACTGCTTCTATTGTCTGGATCTGTCCAAAAGCACAAAATAACTTTAAAGTCTTTATGTATTAAGTGGATACTGTTTCCAAAATCAAGCTCCTTCAAAGTTATTAGTTTTTCATTTGTGAACGCTTAACTTTAAACATTGAAAATTGATGCGTGATTTGGATAAGATATTTGTGGTTTGTTCACTGCGTGAATACAATTAAACACCCCTACTTATTTAAATGGATAATTGATATAATTCTGATCAAATTTATTGCCTATTAAAATTTATGTAATATATTTATTTTATTTCTCTAGAAATCCACGTTTGAATTGTAATGAAGTTCCCCAAAAAGTAGTATCTTCTCCATTGCATCTCTATTCGATTTCTGATATACTTAAACGCATGTTTCGTTTAAATCATTTCAATAATATTTTATTTTTGTTTTATACAAGTGTACAAGTCCACTGCCATGACACTTTATTTTGCTGTAAAATGGCGAATTTGACTCTTTCTAATCAATTGAAGCTAATTTACTGGCAAAAGCTTGAAGTGGAAAAAGGAAGTAACAGGGATCTTTCCAATCTGATTGTTACAAAGATAATCAATGGTTCGTTCTTTGCTAAACAAATTAGAAGGCATTTTTATTTCCTTTTTGCTACTACACATAATTTAACTATTTGTAGTACGAACATAGGAGATGCTCTCACTATTCAGGGCTTTTGAAACTGGAAAAAACTAAAGAAAAGATTGATGACCATGAACGGAACTATGTTCAAAAGAAGCCTTATTAAAGTAAAGTACTCTATATCGGCCAATAATAAGTACAAAGGTATCTGTTCAAGCAAAGCATGAACAAGCTCAACGGCAGAAAATTTTCATAATTCAGATACCTGTTGCGACATGGCCTAGCAATTACAGGCTATGAATAATCAGAATGAAATCTTTAACAGCAATTGTAAGTTTGTACAGAAGAGAATTTTGGCTGGGGTCAGTGGGTTGAGACAAGAAACTACCAGTCACCTAAAGTAGTTAATGAGTTTATATACCTAAAGAAAAACCAACTGCTGCAGATAACATAAGACATAAAAGAAGCACAGTAGTTTGCTGTAATAAACGAAGACCAATTATTCCATTCATGAGAACCCAACTGGACAAGTGCAAGTGTTCAAAACTGATGTTGAAACATTAACATCAGCCATTAAGGATGTCCTGATTCGATACATTTAGTCACTCAGCCAGTGTCATGGTCAAGCGTATGATGAGACATCCAGTATTTCAGGTTCAAAGAGTGGTGTGGCTACACGAATTGCTCAAGATGAGCCAATAGATCTTCACAGTGATGTCTCCACGATGTAAGTCAAAAAAGTAAACCAATTAAAGATACCTTCAACTTTGTTTTTGAACTTGTTGACCTCATAAATTTTTCTTCAGAGTGAGAACTCCAAATGGAACGTTTCCAGAATATTTAAAACTTGAAACCTTTGTGTCCCACCAGATGGAAATATTGAACTGCTTCAATCACTGATGTAATTTAAAATTATGATACTCTTCTGGAACCACTTTAAGACATCAATGCTACATGTTTAGATGATTGTGGCATTTTCAACATTCTTTGATCTCAAGTTGGCTCATTTGGTGTTCAGTGTTTCAGAGCAGCTTTCAGTCGCACTGCAAGGCTCAGGCACAACTGTCCAAGATGCTTACGTAGCAGTAAGTGTGGTAAAAGTATTTTGTAATAACAGAAAGAACCACCTGCATTCGAAAATTGCTACCAGAAGGTTGTTGTAACTGCTACTACAAATCTATCCCCAGTCTTACTCATATATCATCGTTCCACAAGAAGACATTTGATGGCTCTTCTGGACACAAATTCAAGTTTCTAGAAGATTCCTGTACGTGTTCCATTGATACATTGGATAGTAATGGGTGAGCATTTTCAAGATTCTATAAGGTTCATGTTTTGGAGTTGTTTAATGTTTGTTGATAAAACAATAGCGTTTCACATTTAGTTAACAATAAAGATGTTTGCACATACCGAAAAGTTATTTCTGTTAATAAGCCTTGTTAAAATAGATCCTTGTCTTGTATCGTGTCTTGTTTATACCAGAATAGTAACTGAATTTTCATTGTCAATTATTTATGTCGAGACAACCTTTTTAAGGGTCACAAATGGGTATTCTCAATAGCAGCAATCTTCCTACGCAACTAACAATCTAAACAACGACAAATTCACCACCATTTAATGAGTTTAGACTTAAAAAAAATGAAATGAAAACAACGATAAATAAACTTTCTAGGGTTTAACATGAACAAGAAAAACAATTCTTGTTATACCAGGCACCCTAAAAATATATGAACTCAAACCATTGGAAGACGCCCGTAACTGTGAATGTTTGATGTATATTGACGATCTATTTAGAATTTGATTCAAGACTACGTGAGCAAAAAAAAAATTAACGATCTGTGCAGTAAACACAGGGGGAAAGGTAATATTTTTTGTATTGTCCCACCCACACGTAAATCTGTCGTTTCCTTTTCTCAAAGTATTCGAAGGGAAAAGAAAATTTGTAATATAAGAACGGCGGTAGTTAAAGTGAACATTCCTTAATCAAAATTCATCAGACCTTTAAAGACATGAAAATCATCTTTACAATTTATATCATCTTTACTCGGTTGATTATTCATAATACACTTAAGAAAAATAAAATTTTCAAGTAACTCACCCTCTTCTATCTGCAATTAGCATGGCATTTAGTTGGATGGTGTTCATGTCGTCGGCGTTTTCACACAGGACTCGGCAAAGTTGAACTTTTCGAATTTCTTGAAGTTGTTCTAAAATGTGACAAAACAGGATCAGCTCGAACATTTGACATTACTGTAGTTAGTCGTCCAAAAATTCTCTAAAACTTTATTTTATTCTGAACATTTCAGATTGTATATTTAGTTCTCAAGAAATTCAAACAGTGGAAAGAGAGTTGAAAACATAGCTAGAGCTATTTGATAAAAACAGAACTGCTTCAGATATCGTACTTGCCATGGACAGAATAAGACATTTAGAGTTAGTGTGCATAGAGACTGGTTCGTTTATAATTTACTTCAAGACTTTGCTCAAGATCTCTAAGGAAATAATTAAACACTTATTCCCAACATAGTGAATCTCTTTCGAGAGAATGCGTTCAATATTAAATGCATAACATATATATACGTATATATGAACTTTTAGAAAAACAAACAATTACAGTTATAATTTTTTCTATTTAATTCATATTGCAAATACATACAGAACGTCCTGTGATGATTTACTAGCCTGGTCTATAGACAATATAAAGGAAACAATTTTTAAAAAGGACAGTAAATGTACTTACTATATGAATGAGCATATTTCTAAATCTTAGATTTTAAATTCTAAGGACAACATTAAAGAAACATTATGTTACTTCAATAGAAAATTAGTTTTATATCTATGTAAAAAATTTTTTAAAGCTGTTTTGAAAATAAGAAGATTTTATTTTACCATTAGCCACTCAATCTCGATTGTATTGTTATGTTTAATAGTTTTTTTTCGCTAGCATTATCTGCACGTTTCACTATGCCAGAAGTTTAACATTTCCAAATGAGATATAATAAAATAGTGTACAAAAGGTAACATACCAGGAGTGAAAGAGGATGGCCATCCACCGTTTTCGTACCAGAAGCGATCTCCTTGCCTTAGGTAACTAAACTGCTCTGCAATGAGACAGGCAAAAGTTGGGCCTACAACGGCATTGGGCAGATGGTATTCAGAAATACCCGCACTCCACAAGTCTATGTCGTCCACATGTCTATTGGTAGACAGTTATACAGATAAAATTGTTATAAAAGATAGAGAAAGAGAGAGAGACGGACAAAACCGTTCTTCTGGCTCGTTACACTTAATCAAAAAATTACTCTCTTTTTTTATTTCTTCTTCTATGTAAAATACATAGAGAACTTCAAAATTAATTATTGTGGTTAATTGTATTATTGATGTTATTTTTATTTAATTTTTGTGGGATTCGTACTTTGGACCCACAAGTACTTTGGCGCAGAAAAGTTTAGAAAAAATGTGTATCGAAAACAGAGGGGTATAATCGGTATTCGCGGGTTGATATTATATTCTACTCCATGTATTTCTTCCTAAGATAATTCAAAACTTTATATAATTAATATAATGTTTCCTATAATACATACATAACTCGATAGCAATAAATACAACTGAAATATTTAGTGCCTCCTACCGATAGAGTTGGGCATATCTTTGGACTGTCGTATTAGGCATAACTCCTATTAGATCATAAAAGTCGCGGGCCTTTGGAAGCCCGCAGTATTCTCTGTAGAAGTTGTATCCTGGGTTACCATGTTCCCGAGAACGTTGCATGTTAAAAGCAGCGAGATCCATTCCAAATCCATCTCCGGGTTTTTCGAAAAGGTGGTTAGTTACCTAGTGACAAAAAATTATTATATTGTTATATAAACTTATAGAAGCTGCAGAATTAGTTACTATAATCAAAATTTATTATTGTAGTAGGTTCTAAACTGTAAATAAAAAAATCACCACTTTAGGTACTATAGGTTATCAGAAATAAAACCAAAACCAAACTAACATTAACCCTACCTCTGTAGTAACTTCAGGGTCCATTCTGTTGGATTCTTGATTGACTAATCCCATCAAAAAGGTATCAATGATACCTGGTTTATAAAGATCATAAGGTTGACGTAGCTGCGTGGACAAACGAATGGACTCTGTAAGAAGAAACGATACTTGTAGTAATAATATATTAGTATTCTTTCGATACATTTCTATCACGGTAAAATGACAACAACGTACAGGGGTTGGAACAAAATAATGGAAACAAATTGTGGTGTCTCTAAGAGGGGAAATGATAATTTAACTGTGCATTACATTATTTTATGCCATTGAATTTGTATGCATACGCATACTATATTATTGTTAAGCTAGAAAGGTCCTTCAGCTTTCCAAAGAAGCATAATTTTATTTGTGCGTCTAGCTGGATTTTTAGTAACAAGAACACGTAAAGTACTGAAAATATCTTGAGGATTAGTATCAAAAGTGACGTCAACACAGATATCGAAAAACAAAACTCCATGAGACAAACAGAATAGTGAACGAAAAACTTAGTTGAGAGGTCGTGACAAAGACAGAAGATTACAGCGTCCAAAGTTTTGGTAGAACTTAAGGCTAGTCTACAACAATCAATATCTATGAAAACAACACCAAGAGAACATGCAAAATTCAGAAAAATCTAATAAAAGCCAAGAAATGCAAAAGATGGGTAATATGGTGTCAAGAGCATTAAAATTGGACCGAAGATTAATGGAAGAATGTTTTTTGATCAAATGAATCATCTTCTACATTTTCATGCATCAAATGGTCCTGCTTTTGTGTGGTTAAAATTAAAAGAAGTTTATAATACTGAATGTCTTGGAGGAGGCTCTGTGATGGTATGGGCAGCTTTTTGTTAAAAGAACTTAGTGCCTACGCTGTTGCTAAAAGGTAAACTTATAGCAAATGATTACTCAAACCTTACTATAAACAAGGTTCACCCTATAACGAACACTTTATTCTCAAACTTAGCTGGTTTGTTTCATGAACCTTACTGTAAACAAGGTTCACCCTATGACGAACACTTTTATCCCAAACGTAGCTGGTCTGTTTCATGAACCTTACTGTTAACAAGGTTCACCCTATGACGAACACTTTATTCCCAAACGGATCTGGTCTGTTTCATGAACCTTACTGTAAACAAGGTTCACCCTATGACGAACACTTTATTCCCAAACGGATCTGGTCTGTTTCATGAACCTTACTGTTAACAAGGCTCACCCTATGACGAACACTTTATTCCCAAACGGATCTGGTCTGTTTCATGAACCTTACTGTAAACAAGGTTCACCCTATGTATTGTCAGCTTATGTAGGACCAACTTCTTATTAATGAATACAATATAGAAATGAATAAGTGTTTCCATTATTTATTCCAACCCCTGTAGCTACAGCGGTGCAATAATTTAGAATGCTTAAATAGATGAAAGTGTAGTAAGAAAATAAAAATAGCCACTCTCTGGAACAAATGGCTTCTTCGAAACATACTTGATCTGCTTCTAAAAATTTCTAATAAGGAAATTTTATAATAAAAATTTATAAGTGTTGCACAAGGTGGGGATTATGCATAGTGATTTCTAAAGGTGTGAAACTTGAGGCTTTACTGAAAGAAAACACCGTAACATTTGCAACTGTAACGTTATGAAGTATTTGTCATATTAAACTCGTTAAATAAAACCAAGTTAAAGAGAAATCCACATGGTTACCCTAATCAATAAACAACCTAGCTTAAAAAGCATTATTACATACATTGAAATTGGTATGATTCAGTCTGTTATTTCCAATTTGAAGGTTCCTAATAATATTAATTATGACAACACTCACTCGAAAACATGACAAAGATTTTATTATCATATATGCTGATAAAACTTGTTATCCTTAGAAAAGCATACTATATCAAAAAATCTTATCGACAAGTTAATGATTCATGTTATTATAAAGAAGTTGATTTCTATCATACCCGTTAGTTTGTTATGCCAATTTAAGAAGCACTAAAGAGACTACTACAAATCCAACACGAGTCGGGGAACATTACTGCGCTCATCACTAAATAACCCACTTCAGATCGTTTCTACATGTTACCAAAGGCACAAACCTAACAATCTTGGTCACCTCCCATTATTTCTAACTAATATACCCATGGAAAACTTATTCACTTACTCAAATAAACACACAAAAAACTCCCCATTGGATGTATCTTACACTACAAATCCCACAGTGATATCAGTAGTAAAGGTCCACTCCCTCCAAACGTCACCCTGGGTCACTGATAACTTTCTGGACTTACAATGCCAAAATCTGATGTCAAATTCCACACACTGAACAGATCGCACATAGCCCGTTTTGTAGCTTAACTTGAAAATAACAAGAAGAAATAAAAACGTCTATATCATGTTTGCACTCTCGATGACTCAGCAATAATTGTGAGGTCTTATAACGTTAAAAGCTGGGTTTCCATTAGGGGTGCGTATCTCAACATAGTAGTCGATACGATACGTATCTAGATATTGATGCCGCTTATCTAGATACAAAAGTTTTACCAACGGTTTGTTACAAAGTTTGACAGTTTTGTCTGT